ATCTATATCAATAAAAGTTTTGAGACTGAAGTAATAATTCAAAGAACAGAAGGAGGAAAATTCAAAAAAGGCTGTTCGCTGAAGTGATTCACAAGTTCACAGCTTTGAAGGCCAGAAAAGGAATGTTCTGATTTGAGATGTTCACTAAGTGCTGAAATGCTTGTATATTTGTTCCTATTTTTATGGCATAATTTCATTTATGAATGTATTTCCATATGCATGTGTCTACAACTTCTACATTATTTGGGCTGTTATTGATTATGCAAACCTAATCCATTAAAGTATCTCATGTACTGGTAAAGTTTAATGTTAAAACGAACATAATTATAATGTCGCTCTTAAATGTTTTTACTTTGAAATTTATTGTCTTCTTACCAAATTTTCACTTTAACCAACTATGTAGAAGTAAATACATTTAGGCTGTGCGTATAATATTGTAATTTAAACTATAATTATAATTTTGCTAGTGGCTTATGTCACTACTATTGCCTTTACATGCATTGATATACGGGAATTACGATCTACAAATAACATAAGTACAAAAATAACTAAGGATTCTGTATGGTCTGGTAAGGGAGGAGGTTCATGGGGGGGGTTCTCAGTTACTTAGTGTTGCTATTACAGAAATGCCACAAGAGGATGGTTTTAGCAAATATAAATTTAGTCTCTCACAGTCTAGGATGCTAGAAGTCTGAATTCAGTGCATCAGCTCCAGGGGAAGGCTGCTGGCTTATAATATTATATCATATTATATATAATATAAATAATATTTACAATATATATTTATAATATATAAATATATTTGTAATATATAAATATAATTCTATATAATGTAATAAAAATTTAATATATAAATATGTGGAGTCCTGGGTGGCGCAAACAGTCAAGCCCTCAACTACTAACCAAAATGTTGGTGGTTTGAACACACCCAGAGGTTCCTTGGAAGACAGGCCTGGTGATCTGCTTCTGAAAGGTCACAGACTTGAAAACCCTATGGAGTTCTACTCTGACACACACAGGGTCACCACGAATCAGAATTGACTTGGCAGCAACCAACAACAAGAACATATATACATATAGGAATTCTTACGCATGGTGCAAAAGGTTAAGTGCTTAAACACTAGCCAAAAGATTGGTGGTTCGAATCCATCCCGAGGTGCCTCTGAAGACAGGTGAGACAATCTACTTCTGAAAGATCACAACCTTGAAAACTCTATGAAGCAGTTCTGCTCTGCACATATGGGGTCACCGTAAGTTGGAATTGACTCAACAGGAACTTTTTAAAAATATATATACAGATATATAAATACAATCTATAAATATATAATACACAAATATAACCTATAAATTATATATAATTACATATTATATAATTGATATACAATCTATATAGTAGCTAAACTACCTTTCCTATTTTACAAAAATTGTTAACATTCCATACACAACTTTATATGTCTGTGTGTGTGTGAGTGTATCCATTCACAAATTCATATGTATGAGCATATATAAATGTAGCAAATGCATGCATGTATGCATGTATGATTTTATCTTTGCATGAGATCCCTGGAAGATGCCTAAGAAACTGCTAACAGCAGCTGTCTTTAAAAAGAGGATCTGAATGCCTGGGAAGCAGGACAGGAAGGAGACTTTTCACAGTTTGCCCTTTTGTACGTTCTGAATATTGAACCATGTGATTGTAGTTTATATTCAAAGAATAAATAGTTTCTGAAGGAGAAATAATAGAAGTGTTAGATATCACTGAAGTCCCTGGGTGGTGCAAACGGTTAATGCACTCAGCTGCTAACTGAAAGGTTGGAGATTTGAGTCCACCCAGAGTCACTTCAGAAGAAAGGGCTGGTGATTTACTTCTGAAAAATCAGCCATTGAAAACCCTGTGCAGCACAATTCTACTCTGACACACATGGGGGCATCATGAGGTGGAGTTAATGCGATGGCAAAAGTTTAATTTTTTTAGACATCACTATAAATGAGCTTTTCAAAAAAGTCTTTAAAAAGCAATGAAATCAATGTTTGCCCTATGGACATCATTTTAAAATTTAAGAAGAACTTCCTAATGTTATGTCAACGGATAATTGGGTCTAGGATAAAACTTTCCATGCACATTAGCAAAGATGATATGCTCTGCAAATCTGCTAAGCCACTCAAGAAGTGGCCCCGTCGGTGATAAAGATGCTGCTGGAGGAGATGCATCTAAATGATTTGAAGGTAATCATTTTGCAAAATTAAATGGGGAGAAAGGCAGCATTTAAATATTTGTAAGAAAAATAATTTGATGCCATAAATAAAAATAATGTTTTGGGAGGCTATTAAAATAACATAGAAATTGGTGTCCCCCAATTGTACACATGAAAAATGTTCAATTGACAAATGTTGTGTTTTCTATAATTTTATAACAACAATAAAATAATGTAGAAAGCAACTGTGATATAGCACTGGAATAAAATGTCAGTTGTAGAGCAAAATACATAATGTCACATTTGAAGGAATTATAAATGCTAACGGGAATGGCATTATGAGTGATTTTTAAATTTCTTCTTAGTCAAATTTAATTTTAAATTTTATACATTACTTTGGTAATAAGAAAATATTAATAGTAATAAAACATTTTTGTAGAAGAGGAAACAAAACGGCAAACAGAAATGGTTTCTCTCAGCAGCTCCATCCCTTCTTCGTGCTCCTGTCTTGATGTATCCATTCTATTTTTGTCTCAAAGTTTGGAATCCTTTAGGGCCTGCCTGTGTGCCTGTGGGGTAATTCTCTCTCAATGCCTCACCCACGGTTATGCACTGCCCATAAGACGCTTAGATGGCATTCACTACACCTAAGTTTGAATCCCAAATCCTCTGTTACTACCCGAGTGGCCCTAAGGTGGTGACTTTACCACCAAGCCTCAGTTTTCTTATCTGCAAAATGGGGCTACGAAAGACCATGTACTTCATACTTCACAGGTACTCACTGTGATTCACTGAGACGACATTCCATAGCATGTGACCCCTGCCTGGCACATGGCAAGTGCTAAATAATGTTAACTGTGATGAGGACAGGGAATGATAATGGCAGTGATGGTGGTGATGGTACTGTTGATGGTGGTGATGGTGATGGTGGTAATAGTGAACATGATAATAACAGTACTGATGGTGGCGGTGATGATGGTGATGGTGGAGTATGGGTAGTGGTAGTAGCGAACATGATACTAATGGTGGTGGTGGTAATAGTGATGGCAGTGGTCATGGTGATGATGGTGTTGGTGGTGATGGTGAATATGATAACGGTAGTGGTGGTAGTAGTGGAGGTGATGATGGTGATGGTGAAGATAGTGATGGTGGAGTGATGGTGGTGATGGTGGTGGACACAATAATAATGGTGATGGTGGTAATGGTGATGGTAGTGGTCATGGTGGAAGTGATGTGGTGAAGGTGATGATGGTGGTAATGGTGGTATGATGGTGTTGGGGTGATGGTGGACATAATAGTAATGGTAGTGGTGGTGGTGATTGTGGTGATGATGATATGGTGGTGGTGGTGAAGGTGGAGAAGGTGGTGATGATGACTGACATGACAGAAGTGGTGATGGCGGTGATAGATGGTGGATGGTGGGTGGTGAATGATGGTAGGGCTGGTGGTGATGGTGATGGTGGTGGTAGTTACAATGGTGGTCATGGAGATCACCCATCCTTTTTCCATGACTTCATTTATAACCATGAATTTTCATGTTGACGACTGACCTCTTATCCAGTGGTGATGAGAATTGAAAAGGATACTGTAAGGCCCCCACAGTAACAAAGTAGTGCTCTGAGAGGGATCATCCCAGAGGAATCTCTGATTCCTGACAGCCTTGAATAGGTTAACTGCATATTACACATTGGAAACTTAGATGTAAATAAAATTTTTTAAAGAGACTTCTCTTATCCCTTCCTTCACCACTTCTTCAAAGACATCTATGGAGCTTCTACTATGGGCCAAGCACCTTATAAAGTGCTTTGTAAATATCATCTCATTGAAAGCCCACAACCACGCATTGATATAGAAGTTATGAGTATCTCCCCAGTCTTCAGATGAAGAAATGGAGGTTCAAAAATATTATATCATTAGCTCAAGGTCCTGCTGCTGATAAAACGTAAAGCTAAGACTTGAACAACATCTACCTGAGTCCAAAACCCATGTCAGCTGCCACAACAAGATAAAAAATTCCAGGGCCTTCTGGGAGCTATACATGTAACATAAATGAGTGCGGTCACTGGTGAGAAGCAAGAAGCCCTGGTGGCACAACGGCGAAACACTCAGCTGTTAACTGAAAGGTTGGTGGTTTAAACCCACCAGCCACTCCATGGGAGAAAGACCTGGTGATATGCTCCTGTAAAGATTACAGCCTAGAAAACCCTATGGGGCAGATCTACCCAGTCACATGGGGTCACTATGAGTTGAAAATCAACTTGATGACACTCAACAACAAAAACACAGCAATGGGTGAGGAGCAATTGGGACAGTGGAGATCTGGAGGCTGCAGGCTCTATCAAAAGATGTTCAAATTCTCTTCTTCCTTAAATACACAACCAATGGGCCACCAGCTCATAACTTCTGCAGTAGACAATACTGCCTGATTGAAAATCAAATTCTTTAAATGGGACTCTTGCCTCCGTTAGAGGAAATATACTTGGTCACTTCCTGATTATCTTTCCTTCTCTCAACAGTTGTCTTCCTTTTTTTGATTCATGGTGCTCTTCCCCTAAAAAAAAACCTACTCTAAAATATACTGTACAAATTCTCATTATTACGAAACCCTGTCCAGATGAGAAAAAATGCTTTTTGAGGCCTCATTGGAAACCAGTTTTACTAAAGAGAGTGTTTTATGTTAAAGAAGTGATAACATTTTTCAAAACAGTGGACACTTCTAGCAATGCTTATTTGGAGAGATTTGGGCCATGATCCATAATAAGAAACATTATATTGATGATATAGTATTGATGTGTGTATACTTACAGAACAATCACTCATCAGTCAGTTTCTCACACTATGGTGGCTTGGACGTTGCTGTGATATTGGAAGCTATGCCACAGATATTTCAAATACCAGCAGGGTCACCCATGGTGGACAGTCTTCAGTGGAGCTACCAGACAAAGAAAGACTAGGAAAAAGTACCTGGTGGTCCAATTCTGAAAAAAGGCCAGAGAAAACCTTATTAATAGCTGTGGAACATTGTCTCATATAGTGCCAGAAGATGAGCCCCTCAGGTTGGAAGGCACTCAAAGGATGACTGGGGAAGATCAGACGAGTTGTAAGATCATAGGACATCATACATCAAGGACATCATAGATGAAGAAAGAAAAAGGTCATTAAAAAGACAGGAAAGAAAGAAAAGACCAAAATGGATTTCAGAAAAGACTCTGAAACTTGCTCTTGAATGTAGAACAGCTAAAGCAAATGAAGGAAATGATGAAGCAAAAGAGCTGAACAGAAGATTTTAAAGGGCAGCTCAAGAAGACAAAGTAAAGTATTATAATGAAATGTGCAAAGACCTGGAGTTAGAAAACCAAAAGGGAAGAGCATGCTCGGCATTTCTCAAACTGAAAGAACTGAAAAAAAAAAAAAAAAAAAAATTCAAGCCTCGAGTTGCAATATTGAAGGCTTCTATAGGCAAAATATTGAAAAACTCAGGAAGCCTTAAAAGAAGATGGACGGAATACAAAGAGTCACTATATCAAAAAGAATTTTTCAACCTACAACCATTTCAGAAGGTAACATATGATCAGGAACTGATGGTACTGAAGGAAGAAATCCAAACCTCACTGAAGGCATTGGTGAAAAAGAAGTCTCCAGGAATTGACAGAATACCAAATGAGATGTTTCAACAAATGGCTGCAGCGCTGGAGGTGCTCATTGGTTTATGCCAAGAAATTTGGAAGACAACTACCTGGCCAATCAACTGGAAGAGATCCATATTTTTGCCCACTGCAAAGAAAGGTGATCTAACAGAATGTGGGAATTATCAAACAACATCATTAATATCATACACAAGTAAAATTTTGCTGAAGATAATTCAAAAATGATTCCAGCAGTACATTATCCGGGTGCTACCAGAAATTGAAGCTGGATTCAGATGAGGATGTGGAATGAGGGATATCATTGCTGATGTCAAACAGATCTTGGCTGAAAGCAGAAAATAGCAGAAAGATGTTTACCTGAGTTTTATCGATTATGCAAAGGCATTCGACTATGAGGATCATAACAAATTATGGGTAACATTGCAAAGAATGGGAATTCCAGAACACTTAATTGTGCTCGTGAGGTACCTGTACGTAGACCAACTAGAGGACGCTTCATGGTTTAAAGTCAGGAAAGGTGTGCTTCAGGATTGTATCCTTTCACTATACTTATACAATTTATATGGAGAGCAAATAATCTGAGAAGCTGGACTATCTGAAGAAGAACGAAGCATCAGGATTAGAGGAAGACACTTTAACGACCTGTGATATGCAGACGACACAAGCTAGTTTGTTGAAAGCTAAGAGGACTTGAAGCACTTACTGATGAAGATCAAAGACTACAGCCTCCAGTATGGATTATACCTCAACATAAAGAAGACAAGAATCCTCACAATTGGACTAATAAGCAACATTATAATAAACAGAGAAAATGTTAAAGTTCTCAAGGATTTCACTTTACTTGCATTCACAACCAAAGCTCATGGAAGCAGCAGTCAAGAAATTAGACAATGTGTTACGTTGGGCAAATCTGCTGCAAAAGAGCTCTTTAAAGTGTTGAAAAACAAGGATGTCACTTCGAGGACTAAGGTGCGCCTGACACAAGCCATGATGTTTTCAATCGCCTTCTATGAATGTGAAAGCTGGACAAAGCTGACAACGAATAAGGGAGACCAGAGAAGAATTGACGCCTTTGAATTACGGTGTTGATGAAGAATATTGAAGATTCCATGGACTGCCAGAAGAATGAACAAATTTGTCTTGGAAGAATTACAGCCAGAATACTCATTAGAATCAAGAATGGTGAGACTTCATCTCATGTAATTTGGACATATTATCCAGGAGGTATCTGTCCCTGAAGAAGGACATCGTGCTTGGTAAAGTAGAGGGTTAGCAAAAGAGAGGAAGACCCTCAATGAGATGGATTGACACAGTGGCTGCAAAGATGGGCTCCAGCATGGCAACAACTATGAGGATGGCACAGGACCGGGCAGTATTTCATTCTGTTGTATATAGGGTCATTATGAGTCTGAACTGACTCAACAGCACCTAACAACACAACAACATACTTATGTGTATGTATAGAATTCTATATGCATGTATACATAACGTTGTTATATACATATTTTATTCGTATGTGTACAGATGCATAATATGTGTATGTTGTTGTTGTATGCCATGGTGTTGATTCCAACTCATAGAGATCTTATATAATAGAACAGAACTGCTCCATAGGGTTTCCTAGGCTATAATCTTTACAGAAATAGATCACCAGGTGTTTTTTTCTGCGGAGATGCAGGTGGGTTCAAACCTCTGAACTTGCAGTAAGTAGCTGAGCACTTAACTATTACATCACCAGGACTCCTTAATATATGTGTGTTTGTGTGTCTATGTGTGTCAGAGTAGAACTTCACTCTATAGGGTTTTCAATGGTTGTGATCTTACAGAAGTAGATCACCAGGCCTTTCTTCTGCAGGGCTGTTTCATGGATGTGAACTGTCAATCTTTCAATATATATATATTCCTTGATGGTACAAAGGGTGTACACTTGGCTACCAACCTAAGGGTTGATGGTTCTAATCCATCCAGCAGTGCTACAGAAGAAAGCCCTGGTAATCTATTTCTGTAAGATCACAACCATCGAAAACTCTATGGAGTGAAGCTCTACTCTGACACACATGGGGTTACCATGAGTCAAAATAGACTCTACAGCAAGAGATTTATATATATAGAGAGAGAGACAGAGAGAAAGAGAACTAAACCAAGTTTCACAAAACAGTACTTACTACATGCAGTATCTGATACTTTATAATTAAAGTCCTTTTCATTTCTTTTAAAATACTGGTTGTTACCCACTAAGTTGGTTTCCTGACCCAATAGGAAGTCACAATCAGTGGTTACAAAGCATTGACCTGTACATCTTTTTACTTTGGCCATGAAGATGACATACGATCCTTCACTGTGAACTCAGCATCTAATGTGCTTATATATTTATTTTGGAGTGTGAGGTGTGTAGCATGCGAAAAGGCATTTTAATTCATTATGTGACTTTGATCAACTCTCTGCTGGTTTTAGACCTTGTTTTCCACATTTTAAATAACAAACTGGTTACACTCTGAGTTTCTTCAGCTCTTCTGGGGGCTTTATCCATTTAGCTCACCTTAAACCTACGAATTCACAATTCACCATACTCCTCAGCTGTTCAAGAGCATTTCAGTATATTCTACTCTATCACAAAACAACGCACACTTTCCTCACCCAAGCAGAAGTGGAAAAATGAAAGGGAGATAGATGCCAGGACAGCAGCTTTAAAGAAATAGAGTCACAGGGCATGTAACGAGCTCTCCTGGAAAGTTCTGGAAGCTGAACTTTTTCTAGACCCAAGATCGCAGTAAAACATTTTCTATTTTCTATCAGAAGACAATAAACCTGGTCCTACTTACCCATCAAGATGAAAAGCTCTGGCTTCTCACCTAGTCTGGTGGCTTCTCAGAGATAACAAAAAAAAGGAGGTCTCTTTTTATGTTGAGCTCCAGTTACTCGAGGAGGATTGTGGGTGGGTGAGATGGCTTAGGGATGTAGGTTGGGGAGTTTGCATAATGCTAGGTCCATTAGTTCTCTTTTCATGAGTCATTTACATAGTACATTGGCAGGGGGGCATACTAGAGTGCCCCAGGAAATGAATTTGCAAACAGAAGTGGTGACCTATGGGGGAAATCCACTAACAGAGAATGATGCCAACTCCTAGCCTATCTAAGAAAAATGACCCAACTTTGAAGGGGCTCCTTTAGTTGGTGAATTTCTTAGTACAAGAGTTAGTATGGGAAGGAATAGGCAGATATGTACATTACCTAGTGCCTATTACCAGATCACTTCTCAGTTTGCCTCTTTGGGAAGTGGCTTACCCATAGTTTTTATCTTCAGGATAGGACAACCCAACATAATTACACTGATCTACTTGGCTGGCTCATTAACAATGTGAAATATATAGATGACACAACCTAGCTCGCTGAAAGTGAAGAGGACTTGAAGCACTTAACAATGAAGATCAAAGACTACAGCATTCATTATGGATTACACCTCGACATAAAGAAAACAAAAATCCTCACAACTGGACCAATAAGCAACATCATGATAAACAGAGAAAATATTGAAGTTGTCAATATTATTTGGATCCACAGTCAACACCCATGGAAGCAGTAGTCAGGAAATCAAAGAAGTATTGTATTGGGAAAATCTGCTTCAAAGGACTTCTTTAAAATACAAAAAAGCAAATATGTCATTTTGAGGACTATGGTGCACGTGACTCAAGCCATGATGTTTTCAGTCACCTCATATGCATGCAAAAGCTGGAAAATGAATGAGGACTGAAGAAGAATTGATGTATTTGAATTATGGTGTTGGGGAAAAATAATGAATATACCATGGTCTGCCAGAAGAGCGAATCTGTCCTGGAAGAAGTACAGCTATAATGCTCCTTAGAAGCGAGGATGGTGAGACTTCATCTCACGTACTTTGGAAATATTATCAGGAGGAACCAGTCCCTGGAGAAGGACATCATGTTTGGTAAAGTAGAGGGTCAGCGAAAAAGTGAGATGTTGAGATGGATTGGCACAGTGGCTGCAACAATGGGCTCAAACAAAGCAATGGTTGTGAGGATGGCACAAAACTGAACGTTTCCTTCTGCTGTATGTATGGTCACTATGAGTCGGAACTGATTCGACTGCACCTAACAACAGCAACAACAGTTGACTGATGAGGGACCCGGCGGTGCGACCATTAAAGACATTCAGCAGACAGGTTGGCATTTCCAACACACGGAGCTACTCCATTGAAGAAAGACCTGGTGATCTTCTTATGTAAAGATTGTTGTTGTTAGGTCTCATACTGAAGTGGCTTGTGTGTTACTTTGATTCTGGAAACTATGCCACGGGTATTTCAAAAACCACCAGTTTCAACCACGGTGAACAGGTTTCAGTAGAGCTTCCAGACTAGAGCTTCCAAACTAAGACTAGGAAGAAGGACCTGGTGGTCCACTTATGAAAAAAAACTGGTCAGTGAAAACCTTATGAATAACAGCTGAACATTGTCTGATATAGTGCCAGAACATCAGTCTCTCAGGTTGGAAGGCATTCAAAATATGACTGGGGAAGAGCTGACTCCTCAAAATAGAGTCAGCCTTAATGAAAAGAATGGATTAAATTTTGGGGTACCTTCATTTGCTGACGTGGCACGACTCAAAATGAGAAGAAACAGCTGCAAACACCCATTAATAATCAGAATGTGGAATATAAGAATTATGAATCTAGGAAAATTGAAAGTCATCAAAAATCAAATGAAATGCATAAAGATCAATATCCCATGTATTAATGTGCTGGAATGGACTGGTATTGGCCATTTTGAATCAGAAAATCATGTGCTCTACTATGCCGGGAATGACAACTTGAAGAGGAATGGCGTTACATTCATCATCAAAAGAACATTTCAAGACCTATACTGAAGTACAACGCTGTCAGTGATAGGATAGTAACCATACACCTACAAGGAAGACCAGTTAATACGACTATTATTCAAATTTACACACCAACCACTAAGACCAAAGATGAAGAAATTGAAGATTTTTACCAACTTCTACAGTCTCAAATTGATCGAACATGCAATCACGATGCATTGATAATTACTGGTGTTTGGAATGCTACAGTTGGAAGAAGGATTGGTGGTTGGAAAATACGCCCTCGGTGACAGAAACAATGCCAGAGATAGCAAGATAGAATTCTGCAAGAGCAACTACTTTTTCATTGCAAATACCTTTTTTCAACAACATAAACAGCAACAATAAACAGGGACCTCAACAGATGGAACACACAGGAATCAAATCAACTACCTCTGTGGAAAGAGATGATGGAGAAGCTCAATATCATCAGTCAGAACAAGGCCAGAGGCTGACAGTGGAACAGAACATCAGCTGCTCATATGTCAGTTCTAGTTGAAGCTGAGGAAATTAGAGCAAGACCACAAAAGCCAAAATGCTACCTTGACTATTTCTCACCTGAATTTAGAGATCAGCTCAAGAATAGATTTGAGGTACTGAATATAATTACCAAAGACCAGGCAAGTTGTGGAATGATATCAAGGACATCATATATGAAGAAAGCAAAAAAGTCATTAAAAAGGCAGTAAATAAAGAAAAGACCAAAATGGGTATCAGAAGGGATTCTGAAACTTGCTCTTGAGTATAGGGTAGCTAAACAGAATGAAGAAATGATGAAGCAAAAGGGCTGAACAGAAGATTTCAAAGAGCAGCTTGGGAAGACAAAGTATTATAATGAAATGTTCAAAGACCTGGAGTCAGCAAACCAAAAGGGAAGAAGGCACTCAGCATTTCTCAAGCTGAAAGAACTGAAGAAAAAATTCAAGCCTCTGGTTTCAATAGTGACAGATTTTATGGGCAAAATACTGAATGGCACAGGAAGCATCAAAAGAAGATGAAATAAATACACAGTCACTGTACCAAAAAGATTTGGTCAATGTTCTCTCATTTCAGGAGGTAGCATATGATCCAGAATTGATGGTACTGAAGGAAGCAGTCCAAGTTGCATTGAGACATTGGTGAAAAACAAGGCTCCAGGAATTGACAGAATACCAAACGAGATGTTTCAACAAATGGAGGCAGCGCTAGAAGTACTCACTTGTCTATGCCAAGAAATTGGAAGACACCTACCTGGCCAACCAACTGGAAGAGATCCATATTTATGCCTATTCCAAACAAAGCTGTCCAATCAAATGTGGAAATTATTGAACAATATCATTAATATCACACACAAGAAAATTTTGCTGAAGATCATTCAAAAGCAGCTGCAGCAGTACATTGACAGGGAACTGCCAGATATTCAAGGTGGACTCAGAAGAGGATGTGGAACCAGGGATATCATTATTGATGTCAGATGGATCCTGGCTGAAAGCAGAGAATACCACAGAGTTGTTTACCTGTGTTTTATTGACTATGCAAAGGCATTTGATTGTGTGGATCATAACAAATCATGGATAACATTGCAAAGAATGGGAATTCCAGAACACTTACTTGTGCTTATGAGGAACCTGTACATAGACCAAGAGGCATCCATCCCAACAGAACAACGGGATTCTGCATTGTTTAAATCAGGAAAAGTGTGTATCAGGGTTGTATTCTTTCACCATACTTATTCAATCTGTATGCTGAGCATATAATCTGAGAAACGGGACTATATGAACAAGAATGTAGCATCAGTATTGGAAGAAGACTCATTAACAACCTTCAATATGCAGATGACACAACTTTGCTTGATGAAAGTGAAGAGGACTTGAAGCATTTACCAATAAAGATCAAAGATCACAGCCTTCCGTATGGATTACACCTCAACATAAAGAAAACAATTGGATCAATAAGCATGATAAACGGAGAATAATTGAAGTTGTCAAGGATTTCATTTTACTTGGATCCACAATCAGTGCCCATAGAAGCAGCAGTCAAGAAATCTACTGACATACTGCATTGGGCAAATCTGCTGCAAAAGACCTCTTTAAAGTGTTGAAAAGCAAAGATGTCACTTTGAGGACTAAGGTGTATTGACCCAAACCATGATATTTTCAATAGTCTCATATGCATGTGAAAACTGGACAGTTAATAAGGAAGACCAAAGAAGAATTGATGCCTTTGAATTATGATGTTGGTGAAGAATATTGAATATTCCATGGACTGCCAGAAGAACGAAATCTATTTTGGAAGAAGTACAGCCAGAAAACTCCTTTGAAGCAAGGATGGTGAGAATTTGTCTGAATTACCTCGCCCATGTTATCATTAGGGAACAGTCCCTGAAGAAGGACATCCTACTTGGTAAGGTAGAGGGTCAGATAAAAAGAGGAAGACCTTCTACAAGATGGATTGAAAAAGTGGCTGCAACAATGTGCTCAAACATAGCAATGATTGTGAAGATGGCTCAGGACTGGGTAGTTTTTCTTTCTGTTGTACATGGTGTCGCTATTAGTTGGAACAGACTTGACGACACCTAAAAACAACAACTACTTTACCAACCATGGTGTCCTTCAGAGACTGGTCCCTCCTGGTAAAATGGCCAAAGTAAATGAGAGGAAGTTACACCATCCTTGTTTTTAAGGAGCACTCTGGTTGTACTTCTTTCAAGCTAGATGTGTAAAGATTACAACATAGAAAACCCATAGGGCAGTTCTACTCTGTCACATGGTATCGCTGTGAGTCAAAAATCAACTTGATGGCACCCAACAATATTCCAACATACCAAATATATTTAGAGGGAACACAATTCAATCTATAACCCTCCTCATGGGTGCAATTTACTGTATTTTCATGGTAGTTCTTAACCGCAGCCTCTCCAGTCTCAGTAAAGAGCCTCAATACACAAATAATAACCCCAAGGTGGGTATTTTGCATTGCATGGAACAAAAGAGGAAATGTAAAACAAGTGAGGATTTTCCTCCCAAGACCTTGAAGATGGTCTTTGCACCTCATTTGTAACTCGGACCTGATGCTGTTGGTACCTGCCCACAACCCT